TGAAATGATTTCACTGTGGAATCATTTACTCAGAATTATACTTTTCTTGTTCTTATTATCTTTCTTTCTATAAATATACAGTTGCGTGTAAAAATGGGTGATATCAACGTCTTTTCTCATAGAAGCTTATCTAGAAGTTCGTCTGCCTTTTAGCCTACTAAATGAGTATGTATAAAATTATCAGTTCTTAGGACTTTTTACGTGTTAGTTGGTAATTTGTAGATAATATTTGTAATTACTATAAAAATTACGATGGCAGCTTATGCCTGTAAATAGTTTTATTGGTGTGCTTATTCCCTGAAGATTGGGGTATTATCGTTTTTAAAAACAGTTAGGTCCATTAATGACATTGAGCTACGTACTTAGTAGTTCAAAACTATACTGCGCACTTCAGATTTTCATTTCATCCTTGAAAGACATTAAGAAATGTGAACCGATGAACAGGACAGAATGATGTCTTGCTTTCATGTTGTGATCTGACTGTTCAGGGTTGACTTCTTCATGTTAGGTATACACTGCTGGTTAGTTCTAGCAAAGGATAAGAAATCTGTACGGTGCTCAGTGTTTTTCTCGTCAATAGGTGATGGTAACCGCCACAAAATTAAGGCCCTATATGTACACCTTACCATTGTAACTGTTTGTGTTACAGTAAATTTCAACCAGTGTTGTTTTATTCATCAATACTAACAGAAGTGTATGACACTGAGAACACCGTAGAACACGTAACTGAGATATTTCGAAACAAGTTATTTCACAAGAAAGAAGGGAAGAAAATAATAGAGTTTATTCACTAGATATTTTCATCATGAAAACATTACTCAAGTAACATTATAAACAAGAAAAAGACTATTTCTGCATTGTGTTTGAAAAAGAATAATTATGCAGTGAAAATTTATTAGAATTCATCTGTCAGCAGAACTTAGGAAAATTTAGCTACCTCCCAGATACTAAGCTGATAAACGGGGAAAGATGAAATCTACTCAACATCCTTATGCACATTCTTGGAGTTGGCAGTGAAACACACCCGTTGTGTACTGGCTGCCCAAACATAGATAGGTAGAGCTGTGTTCAAACCCATAACCCGCTGATTAAAAGTCATTTAACTTAGGTCTCACGGCGCCTATTGCATTGATAGTATTTCTGCAGAAAGTAAATCGAGTGTTAACTATCTTGGGTTAGGTTTTACTTCTGACCTTTGTTGGTCGTCCCATATTTTGTTGACATGTAAAAAATCTTTCATCCAACATATAACATAAAGAAACTGAAGCTCTCTGATATAACTCAATTTATTACAATTTATTAATTCCTGCATTTTATCTATTCTTCTCTATTGTTCCCCATCGCTCTTTTCTGGTCTACTACTATATTGTGTAGAGCATTAAAAGCTGTTTTAAAGGGTAAGGTGTGCTTCTGGTTCAACTGATTAACACTGTAGTTGATAGACATTTAAATTCCAGTAAGCAATTAGCTACAGAGGTTTTAACTGACACTGAGTGTCTATTTCATTCGCAACTCTTTCCATGTATCTCATCAGAAAGCAAGAAGAAACTACATAAGACTGTACGCCAGTACAGCGAAGTACAAGAATCTGACTTTACCTTACATAGCATGCACATTACGTGAGGGAAAATGTGTTAGAGTAGAACTAGTATATCAACTTTGTAACAGTTAACAATCTCATTTCAGTAATTTAATTAACAATGTAATGTGTTCTTGTTTTTAATATTCTCTACATAACTCAAATTTTTATAATAACACAACTCGAAATGTTGTAAAGGAGTATATTCCATGCATATATTTTGGTGTTGTAATACATCATGCCTTGAGTAAGACAAGGCTGTCTACTATCACCCATGATATTCCTGATTGTGGTCGACTGGATCATGCAACAAACAGTGAGGAGAGAGAGGATGGGCATACGCTAACTGGACCTATGAAAAGAGCCTAGAAGATTTGGATTTCGTCGATGACTTGTGTCGGATGTCACACATACTCGAAGATCTACAAGCAAAATACAACAAGTTAACAGAAGAGGTGAGGCGGTGAAGACGGGACTTCAAGTGAATATAGAGAAGACAGAGGTGATGAAGATACCCAAACAACAACACCACCAACAACAACAACAAGCCCCAATCACCGTGAACGGGAGAAACCTAAAGGAAGTAGCCTCATTCACCTATCTGGGCAGGGCAGCACTGTCTCAACTACAGGCGGTGGTGGCACAGACGAGGACGTCAATGCAACCAGGATCGGAAAGACAGCGAGACAGGTGTTGATTAACCTGAAACCAGTGTGAAGATCTCCTGCACTCAGTACAAAGCGTGAACAAGATGCCGATTTTCAACACCAATGTCAGTCAAGTCAGTGCTTCTGTATGGTTCAGAGACTTGGTGCGTTACGAAAGGGATTTCCAACAAACTACAGATATTCATCAACAAGTGCCTACACTGGCTCATTACTGAAGCTCAGATGGCTAGAGTAAGAAGAATAAGCAACGAGGAACTCAGTCTGGCTGGCTGGCAACGAACCAACCAAGAAGCTATCACTCAACAAATATGCAGAGGTAAGTGGAGATGGATTGGGCATACACTGAGAAGACCATTCGGGGGGGGGGCATCTCGCGCCAGGCCCTTGAGTGGAGCCCAGATGGGAAAATACCAGTCGGACGTACGAGGCGAGGGTGAGAAGGAGGAGATCGTGTGAGGAAGAAATGAGAGCTTCTGGTTATGGGCAGTTGTGGAGCCAGGTTTAAACGATTGTAGAGAAGAGAGTGGAATGGCGATGTGCTACTGAAGCGCTACGTTCCACTAGGAATCCAAGGGACAAATAATAATAATAATACATCACGCTTAGGATTTCATATTGTCCCAATAATTGTTTGGTGAATATTATTATTATTGAACAAAGAATTGAAAACCCTCAACTTAATCACAACACTCTTTCATTTTAATATTCATCACTGGCTGACATCAGTTGGAGGACCATTTAAAACCTGGAGGTTCTACATGGCTGTTTCATCCTAGTATGGGACTCAGCAGTGCGCACCTATGACCGACCCCTCCAAGAGTCGGGGGAGTGGATCTTTAGGTCTCGTGATAAGCACAGGACCATTATGTCACTGGGTAAGAATTCAATGGTCCATATTTTAGTACTTCCCTACTCTCGTGAAATACCATGCCCTTCATCTAATGTCATCATTGAGTGTTCTTCCTCACGTCCAACTTCGTTTATCCCACTGGTCACGACTTATTATGATCCTTAATAGGAAATGTAAGTTTTTTCGTTCAGATTGAAAAGTATCAATGAACCAAATAACACGCAATGCACCACCTTTGGGTACGTACGTGTACATAACGATGAACACAAATGTAACTTACAGAATATATATATATATATATTCTACAGTATGAAAATTCAAAAACTGTTACAAAATTCCTTGAAGTCTTCTGTCTGATAAGAATACCAATAAAAAAACACATATCTATAAGATATACAGAAAATCACTGTTCAACTTAAAACCCATCAAGAAAATCGACAACAAAGACTATGAATTCACATCAACCCTACTCCTAGTACCATCCAATAAGACTTGAGGTTTAAAAAGGTGAACGAATGACATCAACAAAGTCAATAAGTGATGCCGGTAAATTAAAAACACAATAAATCTGATTTTTCAATAAACTCTGATGATGTCGAACGAAGAATTATAAAGAATGGGTTAAGTGTTGTCCAAGTCGAAGCATAAATTAGTCTTTTGCAGGATAGCAGACAACTACACTCTACTTATACCTGATTGATTACGCATGGTTATCATTTAAGTTTATGATATGGTCACTAAATCCGTTAAATTAACAAAGTTTATCTCACAAATAACGATAATATTCTATTTGAAAGATGTATGTGCTTTTTACTATCATTCTACAAGAAAGGAGATCAAAAACATCAGTATTCGAAAAAATTTATGGACGGAGATTGTATCTCAGCCAGTTGAATTATCATAAAACTTCACCATGTAATAATAAAAGGTAAACGATAAATTGTGCTGAAATAATGGAGAATATTTGTAGCTCAGGTGGATGGTCTTGATTGTATTGTGTTCTCTGAGCAGGATCGTTTACTCGTGAAGCTTTCATCATCTCTGTGGACGACATCATCAGCACTAACTTCAGTTAATGTCATCCACAAAGATGATGAAAGCTTCATGAATAAACAACCCAGCTCAGAGAACACAATACAACCAAGATAAACTGTGTATATATTCACAGAAAGTGATCTATTGAAATTGATAACCGTATAAATAAGTCTTTATTTTCAGGCAAAAACACGGTAGACTTAGTACCCAACATGTCTAAGGTTTCTAAATTGAAATATGAGATTTTTCTGTGATAACTCTTAACACAGATATGAAATGAAGTTTATCTGAACAATATGTAATGTATTCGCACAATACATATTTTGAACAATCTGCTCCATCATACATTTACTTGTTAGGTCAATATATATTAAACGGAACAGTGGGAGGACAAATACAACAATTAAAACAAGAGGGGATTAAAATTAAGAAAGATGAGAACCAAAAATAAAGAGTGACATAGTTGATCTTAATCTTGGTAAGAAAACAAAGTTTACCAAGGTAGGTGTAGTGTAGGTGTAAGAACAACTTGTTTTTGTACACATAAAGATGGTTCCAATTTGTATATGTCTATGGTTTTTGAAAAAGCAAGACAGGCCTTCATCAACCTGAAATCAGTGTTAAGATCTACTGCACTCAGCATATATATATATATATATATATATATATATATATATATATATATATATATATATATATATATATATATATAAAGCTACTTGTATTACAGCAAAGCCTGAAGAGAATCTAATTGAAGGCGATATTGTTCGCTTGTATGTCTTGTTCTAATTTAGGAATTAGCAAGTAAAAAAGTAACCTAATAACACAGCCTTATTGATGTACAATTGACTTTCATTTCATTTTTTAGGATCAAGTATTACCTAAGAGTACCTGTGATAACCAAAGTAATAATAATAATAATAATCAGGTCAATCAAAATGTCAACAGAAAAAACACTATAAAGCACAGGTGAAACTGACAGAAAATGATACAGATCATGTGAGTTTATACACCAGTGGATTCTTTCTAATTATTTTATTTTATAATCTACTTAAATATCTCAAAGACTTTCACCTACTACTATTAACTGTCTAGGATTCAAGTATTTGAGTACATAGGAAGTTTTAAAAGCCAAACAAACATTAGTTTTAGAAACATGAGGTTATTTTCAGTTCAAAAGTGAATCATTTCAGACAGACAGGTCAACTTACAGTCTGACACAGAAGTGTATCACTTCAAGTTACAACACTTAAAAGGAGATACCTAATAAAGAGATTAAAAAAATAGATCTTAAGATACTTAAAAGTGCACGACAGTTGCTGGAATAAGTAGATGAAATTTATTGAAAATATTCAAGACTTTGAAGATGACAAAGAGTGTATACGTCTGCGCTATCGTCGTCAATTTTCAGTCCAGGAATCTAAAAACACATTCATTCCTCTTATCTCGATGTCGTTAGCCAGACAGCCTACAACTACTTACACAAATCAGACAAACAGTCAACTGCTTTGTTTACCAGTACTACTATCCGGTCTGACCAACTCGACACATCATATAAACCATTCCTAATTACATGTGAAAATTTCAATTAGTTAATAACACAGTAAACCCATGTACATCAACTTCATACTAGTGATTATGTCACCTTACTTTTCACCCAATGGGTGACACAGGACAAGGTGGCTTAAGGAAAACGTATTCACTGCATTCTCTCCAGAAATTTTTCAGTAAGGTTCACTGAACCATATTCAATAATTTTATTTTAGTTTTCCATTGGGTTCCTGGTAGAACATACAGCTTCAGCAACACGCCTCCATTACACTCTCTTCTCTGTAGTCTTTTCAACCTGGCTCCACAACTGCCCACATGCTCTCATTTCTTCCTCACACCATCTACTCCATCTCACCATCACCTCGGATGACCAACTCGTCCTTCCCCATTTCGCTTCCACTCGACGACATGGCCTGACGCGTGATGTCCCCAATCGGTCTTCTCAGTGTATGCACAATCCATCTCCACTTCCTTCTGTATATTTATTGGGCGATATCTTCTCGGTTGGTTCGTACCTAAGAGTTCCTCCTTGCTTATTCTTAATATTCTGACCGTCTGATCTGCTCTTCAGCATCGAGCCAGCGTAGGTATCAGCTATTGATGAATGTCTGTAGTTTGTTGGAAATGCTTTTCGTAACACGCCAAGTCTCTGAAGCATATAGCACCACTGACTTGACATTGGTGTTGAAAATCAGGATCTTCTTCACGCTTTGTGCTGAGTGCAACACATCTCCACACTGATTTTATACATTAATGAAGGTCTGTCTTGCTTTTTCAATGCTGGTTTCAACATCCTCGTCTGTGCCGCCGCCACCGCCACCGCCTGTAGTTGAAACGATGATGCCTTCCTTAAGTAGGTGAAATAGACTACTCCCTTCAGGTTTCTCCCATTCATGGTGATTGGTGCCTCTCGTTGTTCATGTTGTTGTTGGTTAGATATCTTCATCACCTCCGTCTTCTCTACATTCAATTGAAGTCCCGTCTTCACCGCCTCACCTCTTCTGTCAACCTGGTGGTTTCCGCTTGGAGATCTCCGAGTTTGTGCGACAAGAAATTAGACAAAAATCATCAGCATCGGCGAAATCCAAATCTTCTAGACTCTCTTCATTGGTCCAGTCAGCGTGTGCCCATCTTCTCACTCCTCACGCCCTGTTGCATGATCCAGTCCACTACATTCAGGAATATCATGGGTGATAGTAGACAGCCTTCTCTTACTCCTGTCTTCACTTCAAAGGCATCACTGAACTTTCCATTGTAAATCTCTCGGCATGGGTCGTTTCCATATAGCTGCTGTTGAATGAGGTTTGTAAAGACTAGTGGCACTCGTAGTGTTGAAGTAAATGCCTGTCAAATTACTTCTCGGTCGACGCTGTCAGAGGCCTTTTCAAAGTCGATGAAGTTGAGGTTGATTTGAGTTGACTTCCATTCTATACTCTGTTCTATGATGTTGCATAGCGTAGTGTTGAAATTTGATCCGCACATGAGTTGTTCTTCCTGAAGCCAGCCAGCTAGCCAGTCTGTTACGTTCATAATTTTGAATCCAGAGCATTGTTTAGTCTCTCTAGGCTGATGTGGCATAATATTTTTGTTGGGGAGGGGGGGGGAGGGGGGGAATCGAGAGCAGCATGATTTCTCGCCAGTTCTTGCAAAGGCTTTCCAACCTTCGGTAGTAGTGATGTGAGGATTTTCGCTATTGTCTCTGCATCCATTTTCAGTGCTTCTGGAGAAATTCCAGCTGGTCCTGCTACTTTCCCGGATTTCACCAACTTTATGGCATTCAGGACTTTACTTCTGCCTTTTGTCGGAGGGCCTTTGTTCGCTGGTAGTTCTACAGTTGCTAGTGGTATTTCCGGTCGAGTTTCAGGTGATGGAAGTAGTCAATTAAAGAGTTTTTTTCAAGCGGTCATCCCATCGTTTACTTTGTTTCTCCTCTCTATTTGGTAACTAGCTTTCCTTCACTATCTTTCATTGGTTTCGTCTGCGTTGATCTCTTCACTCACAGATAGCAGCCTGGTTATTTGGTATAATGTTGTCAGGCCTCTCCTACCAGAAGCCTGCTCTGCTTCACTTGTCAATGTGTCGTACAGGTGTCTTTTGTGTTTGCGCGCACTCTTCTTCACTTCTTTGTCCATTGTAATATTTTACACGTTGTACTCAATTCATTTTCTCGTTGTTCATCTCTGCACTGCACTGGTCCATCTTCTGCTTCACCATCTTCCTCTCCCCCCTCTACGAGCTTCCATGTATCCGTTGACATCCATTCCTTGTCTTATCTTGTTTCTTCTTCCTTCCTAATACGGCTATGCAGGTTTCTTTCTACATCTCTTACAAAGACTTCCAGTGCTCATCCACACCGGTTTCTTCAGGGATGTTGCTTAATATCTCCCATTATATCCTGATGACTGGCTGACATGAAGATGTTCCTTGGAGTTTTGTCCTTCACTTTCTGTTCTGGGTGTTGAACTTGAACTGTGGTCCATTCCCAAGTTCTATGAAGGCTTTCAACTTGATTTGGAAGGTAGGCTCCTTGCACTAGATAATGATTGGTGTGAACCTACATCTGCTCCCGTTCTTCTTCTTGTGTCCAGTAGGCTGCGTCTCCATCTCCACTTTCTTCACATTGAGATGAAGTCGATCTGAATTTTAGTTTGTCCTGGTGTCTGGTGAAATCCGTATCGCTTTGTGAATATCTTTGTGTTTTCACACACTGCCTCCCACCACCAAATCGTTGAATGCGCAGAAATCTGCAAACGTTTCTGCACTCGCATTCATTTCACCGAGCGCTTCTCGACTCATGATCAGTTCTCTTACTGTGTTGTCCGCTCCCAGTTTAGCACTCATATCACCCCACCCATTAGAATTTTGATGTCGCCATCTGGGGTGGGTCTTATCTAGTACTGATTGTAGTTGTCTGCAGAATTCCTCCTTCTTCATTCGATCTGCATTATTTGTAGGCGCTTAGCGGTGCATTAAATGATTGTGACTTTCCTTTCTTATTTTTGAGTTGAATCCATCTTGCTGTCATGATCCTGCAGGAGATTGGTTCCCACTGCACGACAGCCTTCGATGCTGTTGGGAAAATCATGATAGCCACTCCATAACTCAGTGTGCTCGTGGTTATCGTCTGGGTGACAGTATCGTAGTGGATTATTGACTCTCCTCACTAACTGATAGTTTGTAGAGTCCACTTCCATTCCTTCTACTTTCTCAGATTCCAAGCACTTCTATGCCATACCTCCTCATCTCTTTTTCAATCTGGGCAGTCTAGCTAGGTTCATACATGGTGCGGACACTCCTTGTCCCCATTCTTACTTTCGCTTTCATCGAAAGAAGATACATCGGCCGGTTGGCTTCGCGAAGACTTTCACCAACTGGAGTCATTTCGCCTCTCCGATTCCAGCGAGAAATAAGTTTGTTTTCATTTTTTATATTTTGTTTGTGCTTTGAAGTTTGTTTAGTGACTGGATTGGTTTTCCGGTGTAGGGTTTCTAGCCGTATGCCCAAACTTCCCTGTTTATCCGGGATAAGGAATGGCTAGTAACTAGTGAACTGTTTAACCAGAAGAGGTGAACTACATCTACTCAGTGTTATATCACTTTGGTCTGGTGATTGAATGACTTGAAGAAGAAGAATTGAAAATGAAGAGTTTTCAATCATTAACAAATATATTTAATTAATTCACACATGATTTTGAAAGACTACTGGCCTCTATAGGAAGTAACCATATCATAACACTCATAAACTACATATGACGAATTCACTTGATTCACAAGCTAACATAGTACTAACTTCAATATAAGTAGTGATGAACATATGATTGAAAAGTCAGGAACATTATATTGGATATTATATTTATGTATTGATCAATAAGAATTAATGTATAACAAAGTTTGTAAGTCTAAAGTAATCATCATATGCTGAAAAAAAATTGAAAAACCGGGATATGATTAGGTGATTCACTGAAACATCAGAAAACAAGATTACGAAAAAATTAAGTGAATAATTGGCAGGTTAAAGAATGCGAAAAAAGAATTGAACTGTTAACATATTTGAAGAGCAATTATCATTTTAATATTGGAATGTAGATATTCTTGATTAAAGTGTACAAAATGACCTGACTTTCAGATGCAATTCTCAAAGTAATGATAGTAAGCATTCTATGATTATAGGCAATTATTTAGTAAAAACATACGCCTTCCGATCTTCCTAACTGATAATGATTGACTAAATCTAGACATGGATATGAAGAACCCGACTAGTTTATTCGGCTTGCACCACATGTAGCACTGGTGAGATATTTGACTGCTTAGTAAAGGTCAAGTAAGTGTATTGAACAGGACTTCACTCCCTCTTACTCCATGTCTGCGAAACATGGTCATTGAAAACGGAGAAGATGAAAAGATGACAAGTGTCCGATAACGATTGTCTTCATAGTATCACCCTTTTGG